TTATATATATATATATATATATATATATATATATATATATATATGTGAAACATTATACGAGTGCGATGAATCTCGTTTCCAATGCGTTAAAACGGCAATACGAAGCGACTGAACTGATTCTACTTTGCTCGTAATGAAGATTTCGCAAGTAATGCTCCTTAGCACGTACGGCTTGTCGCGGATTTTCACTACTCTTTGCATGATAACCGCTCATTCCTTCACTTTTGCCATTTGGCAATGCGTTCCTACGGAATCTGCCGGCAGAACAGAATTTCCCTTACACGCTGCCTTTCGAAGGAGATTACGTGTCTTCCTAGCGCGTGGCTCCTTTCAAGCGCCGCGACAGTAAGTGGTCTCGAACGGCGAAGGTACTTCTTGCATGATTAAATCCCGATTCTCCGAAGGTGCACCTTCGTCTATGTCACTCTTTATCTGGATTTTAATATCACATCGTGCAACGGAAAGTACGTGACGCGATTGAGAAGGAAAAAAAAGAAGAGCTGCGTTATACAATAATTCGAGAGAATAAAACCTAGGCATTTATTTGGAACACTTGTCGGGAGAAGTTTCCACTATGTATTAATTGCATAACTAAATAGCCAATTATCGATTATTTAAAAGGGACGAGCAACGTTACAATAGCGACGTAAAAAGAAAAAAGAAAAAGAAAAAAAAAATCATGCAAACGATTCTTCAAAGTTCCGAGAAAGTCTCGCTTCAAGCGCCGAGTGCAAATCGGCGTGTTTTGACTCTTCAAAACGTCACTTTGATTCGAGAGTATTTGTTGATACACAGTCGACAATAATCAAGTAACAAGTTTACATTCTATCTACTCCATACTATTCAATAAACTCAAGAAAGACAAGGATTAAAATGTTGATGAACAATCGAGCTCTATATTTATTATGTCTCGCTCGAATTTAATATAAACATATTGCGATACTTGCGATACGGATTCCTGTTTCCGCATTGATCCTTACAGAGGCAAGTATCGCTTCCGCAATATAGCTTGTTCTTCGCTTGTTTTAATTCGCGATAATTCGAACACATCGATGAATAAATGCTTAGACACCGATTCGACGATGCTTACGTTAGAACGGGATAACACTTTACGAAGCCTCTTAAGAGAGAAAAGTATTGACCATCTGAGAGTTAAAGCTGTCAATATCCTACAAAGTTACAATGCGATTACCGCTCTCTTTTACTCCCACTTTGTTGGCAAATCTCTCTTTTACTCCGTTAAAATTATTCCTATCGCTGTTGTTGTTGTTGCTATCATTACGGTTACACAAATAAAAAGAAAAAAATAGACTTCAGAGTATAAACGTTACGAGGATTAAAGTATTAACTTACTTCTCAGCTACTTGAGAAACGAGCGATGTTATGCGATAACATTCTAATTAGGAGTGATACATAAGGCCGATGGAAGAACGCTGGATTCTTTTAATTACATCTCGACATACTCGTATCTATATAGTTATTTATCTAATTACAATTTGCAAATTAGATCGCAGGGACAAGTAACAATGTCGCATGATGGATTTACATAAAGCGCTCCATTTTCTGCATGCACGTGCCGTATTATCAGATCGGTATCGTTATCCTATGGTCGTGATTGTGACATTATTGCCGATACGCGTATCCATTACTGTGTACTGCGGCATGTTAATTGCCCGAGGTGATTGAAGACTCGGTACACGGAAAAGAATGGTGTTGAATCAATAGCATCGAGTGTAATTGGAAATGATCTCGTCGTTGATTCAATAACAGCATTAATGAAATAAATGCATATATAGATGTGTGTGTGTGTGCATATATATATATTATTTTTTTTTCTCAGTTAATATTGCTATTGAATTAAAATTATTTCCAAATACATTTGATGTTGTTAACTCAACATTTATTTTTTTTTCGTGTAGTATCTCGAGCCCCCGAAAATCCTCGCACGTCGAATCCTGCACACCTCTTGTTACGAAAAGAAGAATAAAAGAGCGCTCCCTTCCCCATCGCCATTGTATATACATATAATATATTAATGCATATTATATTGTCATATAATAGAACACGCGAGAGCGGGCAAGTTAAGTACGGATGTTATTGTTATTAAAAACGAAATCGCGCGATAAAGTGAGAGTATCTCGTTGCGTTTCAAATGCCTGCGGGACAGGATCGTTGAACGACGAAAATGTTGTCGACAGTTTTATTTTTCCATCGCGCCCATTACGATTACTTACTTGACTATTCGGGATGTAAAGCGTTCCTAGGAGGCGACTCTTACTTCTCTGTTCCATTATTTTAAGTTTCGCGCACCGAACAGCGAACCTTACCGTTGAGTCTGTCTCTCGTTTAAGGAAAATCGGAATGACGACGCCTCGAGACAGCGGCATCATCTTCGATCACACGCACGGTTTTGTCCCACCGTATTCAATAAAATAAATCAATAAATATGCAGCACAACGTGTCGATCGCTACGCGCGACTCCATGCGAGGCAGGTCCAACTCTTGAGCGGTATCCCCCTCTCCCCCCCCCCGAATGTCGAGGGGACACTCCGATATTCCGTACGCAAGGATATGTATGTAGATGTATACACGAGAAAAAAAAAACATTGCAAGCGGCGATGATGTTGCGTGAGCATTTAAAACTCTTCTTATAGCGTTTATTACTTAGTAGATAAGATTAGAGCGACGTAGGGAAAAGCGCGTGTGCGTCACACCGAGATGTAAATTTTTATAAAGTTTCAAAAGCGCGTAACGCAAGTTGTTGTAGCCCGCAGCTGTAAGGTAAATCCCCCCCTCCCCTCCCCCTCCCGATTCGGACGAGCGATACGACTTGACAGTTAGCCGCTGCCTCGAGTCTCGGAAGGGACAAGTATCTTTGTGACGAGAACAGACCGTCGAGCGTGAAAAAGAAAAAAGAAAAAAAAAAAAAAAAAGAAAGAAAGAAAAGAAGCTGGCCGCTAGTCGGTAGAGGACGACGACGATCGAAGGCGAGAGGATGCTCGCGCGAAAACGATCTTTTACGCGAACGAAAACCCGCGGACGATATCCCGATATCCCGATATCATTGTCTCGCGCTTTCATTCGGAGAAGTCCTCGCGAGATTGGCGCAGCGGCGAAACAGGCGGGACACACGAGACCGCTGGGTTCGTCGATTTATTATCGCAGACGTAACGCATTATTCCGTACCAAGTACGGCTAGAGCTATCTCGAATAATTTATTATAGGATTAAAAGAAAAAAAGATTTAAAAAAAAAAAAAAAGAGTCAACTGTAACGCGAGTAACGGAGCACGAATGAGGAAAGGCCTGCATCGACGACCATCTGACACCCTTCACACTTGCCGATTCACAAATCCCTTCCTCCCTCCCTCCCTCCCTCCTCCTCCTCCGTCCCTCTTTCCTGTCCCATCCAATCCGATCTTTATCTTCCTTTCCTTCTGAACACATACAAATACATATACACACGCGTGCGCGCGCAGTCGCATGCAGCATACACGTATACATATACAGACACATACGTATACACCCCTCTACGCCCTCAAGGAAAACAAAATAACATATTGTAATCTATTGTAGATTGTTGTAGATAAATTATACGGTTTGACCGTACATTGTTACTTTTTGTCGACAATATAAAATACACAGATATAAGTAATTATCATTGTCTTTTCGTTATTTCATTATACTGCCGACTCATACGTTGGCGAAAATGAGATACCTACAATGTTAAATATCTTTTAAATTATTTATTTCTTTAGTATAAAATAAAAATTGCTTCGTAATATAATACATCGTTATGGGTAAGGCATACTCGATCATTTCCTTTACGAAAATTAATATGTTGATAATTAAAATAACAATATATACAGAGCATACTCAATTAATCTGTATTTTACATAAAAATTCTTATTTTTTTAATGAATAATACTGGGCGTGCTGGGTGATCCTACCACGTCAATAATATCCGCTTTAACTTCTGGTTCTGTTTTTGGTAGGAGCGCTGGTGGTATTGTTAAAGTCTAAAATGAAAAATACAGCATACGCGTAAAACCAAATTAAAAGTTGTAAGTATTAAAATTATATTCATGTGTGAGATACTGTTTTTGATAATTACCTTGCCTGGTGCCAACGCTTCATATTGGTGCCTTAAAGATTGTAATTCGTAATCACAGGTTGATAATGCACTTCTCAATTCGTAATGCAAAACTATGTCGCTACGCAGTTCATTAAACTGCTGGCATATTTGTTCTGTTGGTGGTGGATTTAGTTCTACAATGTAACAATTTACATTTAAGTCATCAGTTAAATTCAACAAGCATAAAAAACCTAAAATTCTATTTCTTTTTACCTAAACGCAACTCATTCAACATTTGTTCAATGCCTTTCATTTTCTTTTGACCAAGACTGCTTGGTAATTTGATTCTTTGAGAGCGAAGCGTGACACCACTATTTTTAAAATCGGGGAATTTAATTCCAGCTGACTCAACTGCCTAGTAAATAAAAAAAATGTAATAAATGCTTCGAGATAGATGTACTATTGTATAG